GGCTGCCGACCGGGGTACGTCGCCGGGTGGATCGCACGTAAGCCAGCTCGCACCGTAACGATAGAATTGGCGCAATGGTTGCCGTGTAGAGCCGCGGAACCGCGAGCCACGCGCCATCCTCCCGAGCTTGGGAATTATTAGCTGTCGCATTTCGAGAGTCCGAGTAAGGGAGGTAATATTCGCTGCCGAGTGGAAATAAATTAGAGTCGTGTGGAGAGAATCGGGGCCGAGTCGCGCTCGTTCCTTTCGCCACGGGAGAGTCACTTCCGGTTTCCGAGTAGAGTAGAGCCGCGTAGAAACGCGTAGAGTAGTCACGTCGAGTTTCGTCGTGTGGCGTAACGACGCTTATAGTAGTTGCGTTACCGTTTAGTATCGCGTCGCGTAGGCACGCTTGTTATAATTGTGTCGCCGAGCATTGTGCTGTCGCCTCGGAACGCGGGTTGTCGCGTTGCCGAGTGAACTTCCGGTTGCGGTGTTACCGAGTAGAGTCCGTTTCCGGAATTCACGCTGTCGAGTAGAGTCGTGTCGCATAAAGGAGTTCGCTATAATCGCGTCGCACCATCGCGTGGCGTCGGCCGCGGGCCGGCGTTGCACGTCCGGGAGTCTGGTGGTACAGCGTGTACGGGTTCTGGCCGGCTGTCGAGGGGCGGGCGTTTGACACCGTCGGAAAATACCGCGGGGAAGATCGGGACTCGTGTTGTAGCGTATGACCGGCGTCCGGCGTTAGGATTAAGTTAGCGGCTCTCTGTGCGAGTACCAAGAGTATCGAGTAGAGCGGAGGGGCGAAGCCCCCCGGAAAATACTTGTGATTGCTTCACTACTGTAATTTATCATATTTACTTTATCACATTCCTTTCAAATATAATTGTTCTTATTATTACGCTCTCGCGTAGTTTATTCTTGTGGTCTATCTCTCTCGCCCTCCGACAAATTTCCCACACCTCTTGCGACCCTGCCGTCGCGAATCGGTTACGAGCAAAAGTGAGGAGATTTCGGAAAGAATGGCACGCTCTCTCGTGCCTGGCGCCCAACTTAGAATAAGAATTACAATTTTGGCCGAAAAACCGCCTGGCTGTCGCAAAATTCTGCTACCGAGGGAGAGAAGATACTTTTGCGTACTTTTTGAGTACCAAGAACGCGCGACGAAGTTGTACCGTTGCTCGCGAGTACGGTTACAAATTTGGCGCCCAACGTGCGGGGCCTCGAATTAAAAGAGCTAGAAATTTTTCTTGGGTTCTGAGAGCGAGAGAGAGAAGGATAATTATATTTTGCGTGTAAAATTTGTCGTTAATGTGAGTGAATTAATTTCTTATTTTCAGCAGTGTTTATTGTGCGCGTTGCGACATTAGAGAGTTAGAGTTATCGCGAGTGACCCTGAAATTTCGGCGTATCGAGTGAATAATATTCAGTTGCGAAAATCTTCGTGTACTTGAGCAAGGTTGTGTGTGTTGCCTCAGCTATTGTCGTTACACGCTGCGTGCGTATCTCGCACCACTAGCTGTGTCGGTTATTATTCGCGCGTGTACAGCCGTGTTTGCGAAAATATTCTTCGGTCGTTGGGATCTCTTTGTGTCTCGATAACGAGAGTTTGGTCGCTTCATGTGTTGTTGTTCCGCGACATTGAGAATTTCGAAAATTAGCGTGAGCGGCTGTCGACTCGGGAGAATACAGGTCGTTTCAGAAAGAGAGAAGTAGCGTAGAGAGAAAGTTTGCAGCAGGCACGCGTATCTTTCGTTCGCGATCGATTTAGGAAAGGCTGTCGAGAAGAATCGCGATTGCTACCGAGTGTGGAGAATTTCTTTATTTCTGGCTGAGAATCCTGTTACTTTATTGGCGTGATTTCGCGTGAACGTCGCGATGTCAGAGGGATTTTAGCGAATAGAATACCGAGGGAAGTGGGCGATCCCGGTGTCACCCCGCTTGCCGAGCATCGAATCGACGTGAATTCACATGCGCCGATTAAGCAGCGGTGTTATTTAGTTTCCCCGAAAGTACAGGAGGCCATTCGGGAAGAGGTCGATAAAATGTTAGCTGCAGGAATTATCGAAGCGTCTTATAGCGAATGGTCGAACCCCATAGTAATGGTCAAGAAACAAAGTGGGAAATATCGCTTCTGTTTAGACTTCCGAAAAGTTAACAGCGTTTCGAAGAAGGATGCGTATCCGTTACCGAATATGACCGGTATATTAGACAAGTTGCGAGCAGCGTGATACATCTCGACGATCGACTTAAGCCAGGCGTACTTTCAAATACCTCTGACGAAAGAAAGTCGAGAAATCACCGCGTTTAGCGTCCCGGGTAAGGGACTATATCATTTCGTGCGGATACCATACGGACTGACAGGAGCGCCCGCGACGTTTCAGCGTTTGTTAGATTGTTTAATCGGTCCGGAGATGGAGCCTCACGCTTTCGCGTATCTAGACGACATCGTGGTTGTCACCCCGACTTTCGAGGAACATCTTGAGTGGCTCGAGCGAGTATTGGGAAAAATTTCCGATGCGGGTCTTACAATAAATCCCGACAAATGCGAATTCTGTCGTTCTCAAGTGCAGTAGCTGTGTTTCGTCGTACAGCGGGGCGACCTAACAGTCGACCCCGAGAAGGCGCGGCCAATCCTGGAGTACCCCGCACCGCGTAATCTTAAACAATTGCGTCGATTTTTGGGAATGTCATCGTGGTATCGTCGATTTTTGCCACAGTTTGCAACAACAAGCGAGCCACTCACGAGATTGCTACGGAAGCATCAAGATTGGGAGTGAGGGGACGAGCAGACTAAGACTTTCGAGGAGATTCGCACGCGTCTGGCTACCGCTCCGACCTTGTCGTGCCCAGATTTTAAAATTCCTTTTATCTTGCAAACGGATGCTAGTTCGGTCGGATTAGGTACCGTGTTAGCGCAGGAAGTCAATGGCGTAGAGAATATCATCGCGTTTGCAAGTCGCGCGCTGTTGGACGCCGAGAAAAGATATTCAGTCATCGAACAAGAGTGTTTGGCCGTAGTCTGGGCGATACGAAAATTTAGACCGTATTTAGAGGGGTACCGATTCACCGTCGTGACCGATCATAATAGTTTACGCTGGCTTCACCGCCTGCGAAACCCGACAGGTCGACTAGCGCGGTGGGCGCTAGAGCTGTTAGAGTATGACTACGAGGTAGTGTACAGGAAGGGCGCGCTAAACCACGCACCGGACGCGCTATCGAGAGCATACGAGGGTGACACCGAGGCTCCCGGGGAGGAAGTGGAGACGTTTCTAGTCGCGCTGGGGAGAAAGGCAGAGATCTTTCGAGACACAGAGGACCCCTGGTACCGCGCACGTACTTTTGAGTACCAAGAACGCGCGACGAAGTTGTGCCGTTGCTCGCGAGTACGGTTACAATATATATATATATATATTAACAAGAGGGGAAGCGCGCCGTTGCTTAGCGCTCGGCATTGCCGCTATATATATATAATATATATATACACATAAGGTGTCCAGCGAGACTTTTCCAATCCCCCACAGGAAGGTAGATGGGATCGAAATAAATATAAAAGTCCTTTACCGTTTAGTGATATCCGTAATAATAATCGAGATATTAAAGTTTGCAATTGTACTAATGAGAGCGCGTCTATAAAAAGAATAGAAACGGCTCCGGGTATAGCCCGGCCCAATTTGTCGAATGATGTCAAACGATGGATGCGCCGGTAGGAGAGGCAAGAGGGGAAGCGCGCCGTTGCTTAGCGCTCGGCATCGCCGCTCACACGTCTCACCGCACCGCACCAAAGCACTCGCGCGATGGCCGCTACGCACATTCGCGATTACATTACATACATATGTAATAATAACACTGCAAAAACAGGACAAATACAAACCATAATATATGTATTGCCGAGGCCGGTGGTCTAATGGCTTAGGACGCTCATACGGTTTACAAGAGATCCGGG